TTTGAACATGGTATTAGAGCACTCAGGTTTTGGAATTTCAGAACTGTAAGTTATGAATTAATTGAAGAAGGAGAAATTTGAGCTCATATCGAGCTCAATGGCTGGAAATCAAAATATAGATCTGCTTCCTGCAGAACTCAGATACGATCAGACGAATCAAGAAAATGGAAGGCAAATTGAAATGAATGCTTCAGATCCGTTGTTCCTACATAGTTCTGATCATCCAGGAATGATGTTAGTCACAGCACCCTTGACTGTGAAGAATTTTTTGGCATGGAGCAGATCTATTAAAATTGCCCTTGGAGCTAAAATGATGTTAGGGCTTATCGATGGAAGTGTTGAAGTACCTGAGAAGACTTCACCGAATTACGAAAAATGGTTGAGAGTGAATTATATGATTACTTCGTGGTTACTGAACTCAATTTCAAAAGAGATTGTTGAAGCTTTTTTATACACCAACACTGCTAGAGAGTTATGGATGGAGATTGAAGAGAGATTTGGGATTTGTAATGGTCCTATGCTTTATTAGATCCAGCGAGAAATCAGTTCTATATCCCAAGGTAATATGTCTATTTCAAAATATTATACAAAATTGAAAAGACTATGGGATGAATTGACCTTCTTAATGCCTATACCTGAATGCACTTGTGATTCCGCTAAGTCAGTCTCAGAAATAACTTCGTTTTATAGACTGATGCAATTTCTCATGGGGTTGAATGATGAATTTGAACATACTCGTAGTCAGATCTTAGTTATGGACCCTTTACCACCTGTAAATAAAGCCTATTCTATGATCCAAAGGGTGGAAAAACAAGAGAAATTCAGATATCCTATGGAGAACATAATGAAGTCAGTGCTATGAGTGTAAAAACCCAGGGGTATAAGAGAGTTGGATGAGGCAGATGATATGGTAGAAAAATCGATATGAACAAGGAAGAGAAGAGGAATCAATTTTGCACAAATTGTAATATTCCAGGACATAGTAGAGACTGTTGTTTAAAATTGATTGGATACCCTGACTGGTTCAAGCAACTGAATGAGCAAAAGAGGAAATCTGGAGGAAGATTTTCTGCAAATATGGCAGACTCTCCACTTGAGATAGGAAGTGAAGTAACTACTAGAGGACTTGAAGATCA